TATTTAGGTATTCTTCTGGAGAATTCTGTTCTTTCATTTGTGGCCTGTTTCTTTGTCTTACCATTTTGTCTGCCTCTGTGTTTGTTTCTATGTATTAGGTAGATCTGCAAGAACTCCCATGTAGACCTATGTCATATACTGCCTGTGACTGGCCCTGTGCGATCCTTTTGGAGTTATCAGCAATCCACAGCTTGTAGCTCCCTCGCTGGGCCTGAGCGTGTGCATAAAAAACCAAGCTGTGTACCATGGCTGGCTTTTACCAGCACCAAGCCTGTGGGAGGGTCAGCTAGACTCTCAAAGTTCCCAGAGATCCAACTCTGCAGGCTTTCTGATAGACTTAATCAATGAAGTAGCCTCCAGCTGTACTCTTCAGCAGCCCCACTTAAGCTCCACAGAGAGGGACAAAGTAATTCCTGCATGTGGGACTATTGATTCCCCCTAGGCTGATGCTGCATGGAGGGGAGCGCCATGCCTGAGAAAGATGACTTCTGCAGTATGGTGAATGACTAAGCATAGGGATCCTAGTGCCTGACCCTTCAGCTCTCTTTTGTGAGCCACCAACCCCTGACTCTCCTTGCAGGGCTGTAGTCTAGTCTGCTCTACCCTCCCTCTGCCGGCTCTAAGGGTAAGTGGCTGCAAACGAAATTTTATGTGTTGGCCCTTTATGAGGCTCTCTGTGTCTCTAGCTGTCTCTGCCTGGTGGACAGAAACCACACTGCTTTTCACTGCTAGTAATTTGGATTCCTTTCCAAGTTCTGGTACCCTAGGCTGGGGAGCCCATCTTGGGATTTAGAACCCACATTGCTCAGGGGACCCACCCAGCCACTGAAATATCCCTCTGGAACTTCATCTGCCACCCATGGGAGCCCAGCCAGCTTTTTATGCCTCCGCCCTTCCTACCAGTCTCACTGTGGTGATGAGGTTTATTCCATAAGTCCTTGGTTATAAGGCTTCTATCCAGCTAGTGTTCAGTTTCTTACTCAGGATGATTTTTCTATAATTTAGTTGTAATTCCAGTTTGGTCCTGGGAGGAGGTGAGTCTAGCTTCCACCTATTCTGACACCATCTTAGATCTCTCCCAACTGGTTAGTTTCTATTGCTATGTCTTCAAATTCACTAATATTTTATTCAGTGGTGTCTAAGCTGTTTTTATTCTCATCCAATGTATTATTTACTTTTCTAAAATATCCACGTGAGTCTTTTTAAAATTTTCTATTTCTCTCATCATGCTGTTTTTCTCTATTGTTTTGAACATATGGAACATATTTATAATAGCTGTTTAAAAACCTTTGCCAGTGCCATCATCTCTCTCACTTCTGGATCTGTTCTATTTATATTTTTCCTGTTGGTTATGGATCATATTTTATTGCTTATTTTCCATGCTTGATTGGATGCTGGATATTATAGATTTTGTTGTGTCGGGTGCTAGACTTATAGCATTGCTTTAAGTAGTGTTAGATTTTGTTCTGAAGCACACTCAAATTACTAGAGAATAGTAAATTCTTTCGAAGCTTGCTTTAGTTAGGGGAGGCTTATAGCAGCCTTTAATAAAGCTAATGTATCCCCATTACAAAGCAATAATAGTGTCTGAGGGCTCTCCCTAATGTCACTTATATTATAAGGTCTTTCAACTCTGGGTTGGGCTCATGTACTCTTCACCGTTCTTTGTGAATTCAGGAATTGTTCTGCCTATTTGATTTTTAGATTCTTTCCTAAACCCTTTGGAAGTTTCATCACAGATGTGTATATATCTATACTGAGCCAAAGACTTGTGGGGGCCTTCCTAAAAGATCTCCAGAGCCCTGTCTCTGTCTGTGAAACTCCCTCCTCTCTGCCATGCAATTCTAGCTGCCTTGGCCTTCCTCATCTCTGATCTCTGACTCCGCAACTCAACAAGGCTACTGGGTTCTGGTTGGGTTTTCCCTCCCTGTGGCCTGGCAGTAACCTGGAGCAATGGTAGTACTCACATTTTGTTTCCTTTTCCCAGGGATCACAGTTCTGCTTTGTCTATTGTCCAAAGTCTGAAAGCTGTTGTTTCTTATGTTGTGCCTGGTTTTCTAGCTGAAGAATAAATCTGTAACTCTCTTTTGACCAGAAGCAGAAGTCTTTGTATTTTCAACATTCTTCTTTAATTCTTTATAATTAATTCAGTTCAACAATTGATTCAATAAAATAATAGTTAAATTAGCTCTTCATGAAAGAAATGAATTCTGTCTTAACATTTTTTAGTTACAACTGACAAACTAACCTTAAAAGCATACATTGTTATGTATTCCTGCTGTACATGATGAGTATGCAGCTCCTACCACATGCTACCTTCTGCAAATTTGACAACATCCAAGCTGCTATTCACACATGTTCACTCATCGCACATTGCATAGATGTCATAGAAATTTTAAATTGCTAATAAAAGTTTTGAAGCCATTCTCTATATTTCTGTATTTATCTTGTGAACAAGTAAGAGTCAACTAGAGACTGACCTTCATCTAAGGACCACATTTTGAGTAGGAGTGCCCGACAGATTCCTGTAAGAGTGTACAGGGTAGCTGTCAGCAGGAAAATGGTACATAGAGTTGATATACTGATACAATTAAATGTTTTACAGCCACACACATCAAGAATGGGTGAGTTGGGGACATAATGATCTTAAAGTACATGTAGTCCCTTAGTATACAGATCATACACCTTGGTTACTTTTATATATATGGTTCCAATACTGCCAAACTAAATTAAACCATAATGATGTACAATTAGGTGCTGAAGGTATAAAAAAGATTAGTTCTGTCATGGGGGCAGGACACATGGGATTATCTGGGGTACTGGAAATGTTCTATTTCTTGACCTATGTGGTAATTACATGGGTGTTCATATTATAATTTTTTGTTAAGATATACCTGTATCTTTAATATACTTTTAGAGATCTCTCTCTCTCTCTCTCTCTCTCTCTCTCTCTCTCTCTCTCTCTCTATATATATATATAATATTTCACAATTTTAAAAAGTTTGAGTCATGGTTTCTCACCAGAAGAACTGAAATCAGAAATGTTCAGTAGAAATGGCTGGTGTGGCTCAATTGGTTGGAGCATTGTCATTCAGTTCCTAGTCAGGGCACATACCTAGATTGTGGGTTCGATTCCCAACCCAGGAACAGGCATGTGTGACTCCCTGTCCAGATGCATAAGATCCCCGGTCTGGGCACTGTCCCCTGAATGGGCCTATATGGGAGGCAACCAGCTGGTGCATCTTTCTCACACTGATGTTTCTCTCTCTCTCTTCCTCTCTCTAAAAGCAATGAAAATGTGTCCTTGGATGAGGATAAAAAAAAGAAAGAAATGGTCAGTAGGAATGTCCTCTGGGGAGTGAGAATGAGACGCTAGCAGTGGATGACACTAGGAATTTTATTATAACTTATTTCAAAGCAGTTATTTCCCCCACCAAATGGTAATTGTTAACTTCTTTTGTATAAATTATTTCCACCTCTTTTGGTTTGTTTTATTTAAGAAACATTGTTAGAAATATAGCTGAAGCACCTTTTAACCACTATTCTTAGTCCCCACCCCCTCTTTCCAAAAGCAACAACTATCATAAATTTGGAACTATATTTCCAATCTACTTTTTAATTTTTACATTTTCATTAATAACATGGTACTTTTGGTGTGTTTTAAGTTTACATAAATAAATTCATGCTTTTAGTATCTTGATTTTTTGCACTCAATTTTTAAAATGACTTTCCCTGTTGAAATAGATATAGAATTTATCCTTTTTAACTGCTGCATGGTGGTATTTGATCATATGAAATACTGCATTTTACTTAGCTTATCAATGGAAGTTTAAATTGTTATGTTTGCTCCATTCAGCAGTGCCACAGTAAACTCTCTTATATGTGTCATCAAAGTTTCCCTAAATACATAACTATAGGTGGCTTGTTGGGCCACAGAGTAAATGCATTTTCTAGATACTGCTCTCTGACGTGGCTGTGCACACCCACCAATACTTCCCCAACATTTCCTGTTGTCTCTGGTTGCTTTTCATTCAACTTTTTGTTACTGGTTGATTTGGTTTCAGGTAAGTGTATTACTTTGGCCAAAAATACTTCTAAAATAAAATTTTAAAATCAAAACAAAGACAGAAGAAAAATGATAAATTAAAAGATGAGTTTAATTCAAACTTTAATTTTTTTCGTTTTTTGTCCAGGTATGTCCTCTGCTCTTTGACTGACTAAAACTTATAAACTAGAAAGCAATGGAAACTGCCTGGAAAATTCCTGGCTCGTTGTTCAAAGAGCCAACCCAGGCTGAAGTCACTGAACTGGTATGACAAGTGAGGCAGCCCCGAAGCACATGCAACCAGAGGCTTGTTCTCCAGCCAGCCAGCAAGCCAGGAAGTAAACCCCACCTCGTACGCAGAGAACCCCATCTCTCAGAACATTGGCAGCCTCTGTGCACGTGGCCCCACCTCTTCTTTCCTGGTTATTACATGAAAATTGACCACAAAAGCCAATGAAGAAATAACTCCTTTCTTGACCATCATTCTGCCAGAATTATATATTGAAATTATATGCTCTTCTTGTTCTTTTGTTTTTTTTTAATCATAAAAACATGCACTCACTTTAGTGGATAAAATTTATTGTAGCATTAGAATTTGAGGGACAGCAATTAAATAATTATGTAAAAAATTGAGCTCTCAAATTCTTTCAGGAAGGAACAGAGCATAAATAAGTATATATACACAGACACAAGCAAAAATTGTGGGCAGAAAAAGAGGTTAGATCATTACTATCAAAGAAGTGTGTGCCCAGCCATGCCCTCTTTCCTGTCCTCTAGGAGCTCCATCCCAGGTCCTCCAAGGGCTGGGATGGGGAGACATTGTGCAGGGGCCTTCCAAACAACCCCGCAAGGGCTGGAGGGCGGGGCTGTTTATCGCTTGCCTGGCAAGTAAGTGGCTGCCTCAGTGTAGCCTCCGTGTACTGGATACAAGCCTGTGATTTTTTTTGCCCATCAGCCAGTTGCAGAAGGAAGATGACAAAGAAAGTGCTGAAATGGAAGAGTTGATGGCAAAGCTGGCGGTCCTGCAAGTGCAGAAAAAGAGCCTGCTGTTAGAGAAGGACAATCTGACAGCGAAAAACAAAGTGCTGAAAGCTGAACTCGAAAGGGCACAGAAAATAAATAGGTGTTTATATATTTTTTCTTAAGCTTTTTTTAATAGTTAAAAAAAGAATTAAAAAACTTTATTTTTTTCTTTTCTAATATTGGCTATAAAATAGAAAAGAACAATTGACATTATTGGATATAAGTATAGGAAAATATAAGTAATATAAGTACAGTAAAAGCCGTAGACCAATATTAACTAACATGTTTCTAGTCTATAGCTCACATGTTGTTGATACTTATGATGATGACTCTAAGACTCTGAAAGTTCTAGATGTTCTTTAACCATTTTCTGAAAGTCTACTTTGGCATTACTGAATTCCTTTTCAGAATTATTTTTTAGAACATGAGCCAAAAATTTAACAGAATAATATATAATTAGCCTATTAATTGTGTTAAAGCATTTAACACAAAGTCCTGGGACTGTGGGCCATGCGCCCCCACCTTACCTCTTTGTGGCCCCTTGAGCCTTGAGAGCCCCTTGTATCTTAATTCATTGCTATCGGCACCTTAATTTCTGATCCTGCCTTTTGGGTGGGTTTTTTATGTGACTTGTGGCAAGTTACTGAACTGTCGTTGTCTTATTTTTCCTTTATGATAATCAAATTGCCACTACTAGCCTACTTTAGGAGGGATGCTCACTTTTACTATTTTTTTTTTTTTACCACTTGAAATAGTCAACTTACAGTGTATAGTAGTTTATGCCACATGTAGATATTAATCTAAATTAATAGTGATTTCTATTGGCTTGACTTTGAGCCAATAATTATGCTTGGCTTAAAGTTAAATTTAGTTATCATTTCTCATCTTGAAACTTACAGATTTAGATTGCTGAAGAATAACATTTAAATGCTAACATACTTGCTGTTTTTATAATACAGATAATCACTATGCCCTAGCCATTTGGGCTAATGTTTTTTATTTCACTGTTTGGTGGAACTCTTTAGGAGATCTCAAAAAAAAATTGACGTCCTCACAAAGCAGGTGGAGAAAGCCATGGAGAACGAAATGTCTGCTCACCAGTACCTGGCAAATCTTGTTGGCCTGGCAGAAAATATAACTCAGGAACGTGACAATCTTATGTATTTGGTAAGTTTCCTCAGTTACTTCAACTACACTGCAAGTTTACATGCAAACATAATTTAGGAGTTTTTTTGTTTTTTTGTTTATTTGTTTTTTACAAAATCATCTACAAACAGCTTCATCTTTTTAAATTTCAACAGCAAATTTTCAAATTTTCCAAAATTTTATCTTTCAACCATGGAAGGAAAAACATTTTTAAAGGGTGAATAAGCCAAACTTTGAAATATTGGCAAATGATATTTTAGAAGGTAAGCTAATGGAGTTAGTCCATTTAACTAAGTAGGAACAGTAGTCTTCAGGTGTTTATTACACATATAGTGAACTTCAGTTCGTAAACTTAATTTGTTCTGGAAAACTGTTCAAGAAGTTATTCGTTCGAAAACCAAATCTCCTTTATTTGTTACCTGAGAGATGTGTGACTGATCATACAGGCATCAGCATGAAAGAGTTGTTGGGTTGAGAAACGAGAACCTATATTTTATTGGAAAACCGACATCTTTCTGTGAACAACTTGGTCAAGAACTGAACTGTTCGAGAACAAAGACGTTTGAGAATAGAGAATGACTGTATAGACACACTTTTATATTCTCTCTGCAAAGCTGAGTTAATATATTCCCTGTTTGAAGATGAAACATAAGAATCATAGGTTAAAAAGAGTTCATCCTAAGAACATAGTTTAAAGGGCAGTGATATTCATCCCAGGTTGTTTCTAATAGCGCTAGTCCAAGGAAGGGCAGTGAGTAAATTATTGGTGGTCCTAGATGAGGCTCTATCCAGCCAGCAAGAGTGATACCGTAGACACGATCCTTGGCATCTCCACGTTAATTTTAACATGTCTACAACAGATTGTGCAGTGAGAGAAGATAGATGCTATGCCAAGCCATATACTTTGAGAAAAGTCTGATAGGATTTACCACAAAAATGTTACAGTGAGTTAGATATTCAAGTGGTGGAATTACAAGAGATCTTTTAAAAATCATGGTAGAATTAAGAGAAATTTTTAAAGATTTTATTTATTTATTTTTAGAGTGAGGAGAAGGGAGGGAGAAAGAGAAGGAGAGAAACATCAGTGTGAGAGAGAACATCGATCAGTTGCTTCTTGTACACGCCCCTACCAGGGACTGAACTTGCAACCCAGGCATGTGACCAGGAATTGAATGGGTGACCTTTTGCTTTGTTGGGCAATATCCAACCAACTGAGCCACACCAGTCAGGACAAGAAATTTTTAAAAATTGTTTTATTTATCTGTATTTTATGATTTTTCTACATTGAACACATATTGTTTTACATGCATTTAAACATGTTTATTTAAGCAATGTTGGTAGTGTAGGGTCAGAAGTTGAATGGATGTCATTACAAAAGACACCTGAGGACTTTCTTAGAGAGTCAGAAATTGGCAAACTTGGTAGTAACTCAGCCCTTCTCCAGGTAAATGAGGTGTGGAGAGCCTGTCAGGAGGTGTCACAGGCTTATTCCCATTTGCTACAAAGATAGTAAGTTCCTCCATGGGAAAATGCACATAGGTTTTAGTTATTGTTTATATAAGAAATATAAACAGTATCCAACTCTTGGGGAGGAAATGTTGATCTTCACTGTGACAGAGAAGTGCTAATTTAGCCAGTCTTGAGATACCATTTCATACTTTTATTAATGTTAGAAAAAAATTTAATTATAATTGTCGCTGGTAGAGTATGGTAAGTCTAGTTATACAATACCGGTGATTTCTGAGTTTTTCCCCATGTCTTTTAGAAGCTATTTGACAGCATGGGAGGAGCCTTAAAAGCAGGCAGACCTCCTGACCCAGTAGTTCCTCTCCTGAGAAGTCACTGTCACAGCCCAAGTGCTCAACTCCGGCATTCTCTGAAGCAGTGCGGAGCCCCTTCTGCTCTGCCTCCTGGGCTTACCCACTGGTAGATCAACAGGCACAGAGCTTGTCGAAAACCAGAAACTGTCAAACAAACCCATTCATCTATTGCACATTCTTCAGGACCCAGCTGCCACGGGTCATTGCCACTGTAAAGACAAAGCCATCTTGTTTGCAGGGCAGGACACACAGGATGCAGGCCCACGTGGGCCAGAGAGCATCCCAGGCTTCCATGATGAAATTAAGGTCTTCCCTAACCCTCAGGCTGTCCCCCTTTGTGAGCCCCCTCCTATTTGTGAGCCCGGGATAGAAATATAAGCGGATTGCAGGGCCGAGGTCGGGGGGACATAAGGGGGATGAATGGTAATGGAAAGAAATACAATTTAAAAATTAAATAAATAAATAAATGAAATATAAATGGAGGCCACATACTGTGTGTTCAAATACTTAGAAGTTACAGATTATGACTGTTAATGAAATGTGTTTTCTTCTCCTGTCCTGACCTTTGTTATTGTGGCCTGAAAGCCAGGCCTGAGTTTAGAGTCCCCAGACTCCTCAGACATGGGGACGCTGCTCTCATCCCGCCCTGACCCACCCACAATAAAGACACTGCTGTCCCCTTGGCCCTGTAGGGTCCTTCCCCTTGGTGCCCCAAGGCCAGCCCCAGTAGTAGGGGTTCAGGGGTGGTACTGGCTGCCTCCTCGTTGTCCTGGGACTGTGGGCCATGCGCCCCCACCTTACCTCTTTGTGGCCCCTTGAGCCTTGAGAGCCCCTTGTGTCTTAATTCATTGCTTTCGGCACCTTAATTTCTGATCCTGCCTTTTGGGTGGGTTTTTTATGTGACTTGTGGCAAGTTACTGAACTGTCGTCTTATTTTTCCTTTATGATAATCAAATTGCCACTACTAGCCTACTTTAGGAGGGATGCTCACTTTTACTATTTTTTTTTACCATTTGAAATAGTCAACTTACAGTGTATAGTCGTTTATGCCACATATAGATATTAATCTAAATAATTTAGCTTCAAATGACATCCATCTTAAATTAAATTACTGCCTGTCATATTTGTTTGAAAAACAGCATTGTGCATTCATATTAAGTTATCTTAATTTTGTAATTATTCAAATAAATTAAGTTAAAGTTTATTTGTATCTTGGCACTCATTCCTTGGATATGATTGAAGGAATGCTATATTCCATAAAAATAGAGAAACACGCTAGAAGCCCTTACAGCCTCTCCCATTCCCCTTGTCCTGGGGGCACAGGTCTCCCATTTGTGCGCAGGAGGGACCCAGCTGCTATACCAGGGCTTGCCCCTCCTCAGCTGTTGGCCCAAGTCCTACCCTCACATGGAGTGGGAATCCAGGTAGGGGCAAGAGTGGGTGGGCCAAGACAAGTGGCAAAATGGCGATCATTTGTGAGTACTCGTAATATTCTTTCAGAAGAATTTTTTATTCTTCTAATTTTTCTGTTAAACTGAGAGCCCATTATTTTTCTTTTCATCTTTCCCCTTAGGCCAAATGTTTAGAAAGTGAAAAACATGGAGTTCTTAACAAAATTGTAAAAGGCAATATTCGCATGGGAAGGTTAGAGGAAAAAATCAAGGTAAGTGGTTATTGAGTCTTTAAGATTCCTTTTTCAAATGGGAACAGAGACTTACTGGATGCAGATTCCCATGTTTAAGAAAGTGATACATTTTTCATGTATCTAATGCTAATCATTCAGAGAGTAAAGCATTACAGGGTTTTGCTGGCAGAAATAGCACCTACCTCTCTGGAAGTAGCGTCCTCCCACATGTTAAATAAACTTCGCTTCATCTGCACAATAAGATATAAGGAAGATGCTTTTTAAAAAATGCAGGAAAATCTCCAGCCTATGTCCTTAAGTTAATGCCCAGGCTTTATGAGCAAACGTAGTTCATTTGTTGGTTCAATTAGACAGCAGCATTGACCTGCTCCTCTCTGGTTTAGTCCCGATTGCACCCTGCAGCTTCTCTGCCCGAGAAAGCCATTCTCATTGTACCGACTCTCCCCGTGGCCAGTCCTCACCTGACCATTCTCCTCCCCATCATCCGCATTCTGACTGCCAGTCTCTCAGTATGCATCCTCAGCCTTATCAGCCACACCGGTTTCTCTTGGGCATGGGTAGCGAGAGGACCAGCAGGCTAGAGGCCTGGGTGGAGAGCAAGGAGCCTTGTGGGTTTTGAAGAGGAAGGTACTCTGAGGGCATAGAGTTCCAAGCATGGGGAATAAGATCTAGGACCTTTGGGCTTAAGAGCATGTATTCAGGATAATGATTAAAAGGGTCTGATAAGTAGATAAATACTTAAAATTTGTTTGATGTGTTGGAAAATTAACAAACCAAGAAAAGTAAATCAAAACATTGGCTGGCTGTATGTGCATACTCATAGTATTGGGTGAATTTTATATATATATATATATATATATATATATATATATACTATAATTATATAATTATATGTATAATTGTGTATATATACACCAATATAAATAAATAAATTTTATATATATATATAATTGTATGTTGTGAGGTTGTATTATTTTAGGGGACATAAGGTTTAGTCCTGAATTATTTAACTTTTAAAAAGTTAAACAAAATTTAACTTAAAACTGTGTCCTAATGTAATGAATGGATTTTATTTTTCCTATGTTTCATAAACATTGAGTGAAAGAAGCTTAACACCAATAAGTGTCTATACTATGACTGCATTTATATGAAATTTAAAACAGGCAAAATTAAACTTTAGTGCAACATAGACTACAAAACTAGAAGTGAAAAGTAAGGGAAGGATTATAACAAAAATAAGATTAATGATTATATCTAAGGGATTGGGACACTTGGGGACTTCTAAGTCTGATACTGATAATATTCTGCTAATGTTCTATATATTAACTTGGATGATAGTTATATGGTGTTTGCTTTGTTATTATTAATTAAATTGTTCATATATATATTTTATAATTTTCCCCCCAAACATCAACATGTCACCTTACCAATGAGGCATACTTTGATTATTTAAAATTGTTAATCATCCATTCTTTCACACTCCTGATCCTCATTATCTAGCTTTATTGTTTCTTCCAAAGACAAAATCACCTTCGAACAAATTATGTAATTTATTATGTTTATTGTATATTGTCTCTCTCCTCTGACCAGACTAAAAGCTCAAAAAGGATGGGGATTTTCTTTTTCCTGTTTTTGCGCTGATGTATTCCAAGCGCCTAGAATAGCTTTGGGCTCAAAGTATTCAGTAAATTCAGTAACTATTTGGGAAATTAATTAAATAACGTTTTTTTACAATTTAAAAATTGTAAAAATTATTTAAAAATTCAACAGTATCAAAAACAGCATATAAAACAATATCTCAGCTCTGCATCAGAAAGGCTGGAAGAAATATACCATACTATTAATGATAGGACTCTGCATAGAAGTATTATGAGTAATAATGAGCAGTTATGAGTTTCTTGTTTTTTCTGGTTGGCTTTTATTTCCAAAAGAGAAGGTCCAATCTTCAGAGTGGTTGGCCTTGTCTTGGAAATTCATCTCATTATTGTTCATCTGATTAGGAATGGTAAAAAGGGCCCACCCAACTACTAAGAGAGGAAACCTGTGAGTCAGATCCAGATTGTATAGTGCAGAATCTCTGGGGAAGTGAAGGGACCTATAAAAGTCTTGAGAAAATACAAAGGTAACATCTCACAAAACCCCTGCAAAATATGACTTGTAAAAGTGAGGACATCACCTTGAAAGTCTGAGCTATGATGACATCTAAGAAACTCAGAACTGCAGGTGGAAGCCCTTCTGAACCAGGCTGGGTTCAGAGAGCCAGAGCAGAGGTGACAAAAGAAGTGGTATGTACAGCCGGAAGGCTTCCCTGACCCAACCAACCAGTGCTCCCACCCTCCATGGAACCTCTAGATGGAATCCAGTGCCTTCCATACAAAAATACCTTGAGAAAAAGAAAGAAAAATAGAATAAATTTCCTATATGTGATGAAAATGCATCAAAAAATGTTACCACAAACAGGATAAAAATTGTAATGTATACTCCAAAGTGGATTGAAGGGCAAGCAGGTAGATAGTTAAATAATTAGGTAGGTTGCTAAAACTTAAGAAAGCAGTCAATGCTAGGAAGAAATACCACAAAGCAGAAACACAGTACCCTAACAAGATATGGCCAGACAAAGGAGAACGTGAGATGGAACTTATACAACATGGGAAAGAAATAGAAGGAAAAGATAAATCTTTTCAGAAATGTGAACTAAATTGCAAGGAGAATATATTCATAAAAGCATAATAAGAGACATAAAGGCTAGAGATGAAAAAGGCAAAGACTATGTTTCATGGACTTCCAGTCAAAATGGCAATGTAGGTAAACACAGCTTGCCTCCTTGCACAACCACATCAAAATTACAATTGAACTATAGAACAACCATCATTCAGAACCATCAGAAATCGGACTGAATAAAAGTCCTACAGCTATGGAATTAAAGAATAAACTATATCAAGACTGGTAGGAGGGGCAAGAATGCAGAATGGGCTGGTCCCATGCCCATGTATGGCAGATAAAAATCAGGAAAGATATCTCAGGAAAGAAGGGGCCCAGCCCCAACCAGGCTCCCCCAGCCCAGGGTTCCACTGCCAGGAAATTAAGCCTCCATAACTTATGACTCTAAAATCCAGTAGGGATTGAGTCTATGGAAGACAGAAACTGCTAGAGTCTCTGGCAATTCCTCTTAAACGGCCCATGCACAATTTAACTCAGACTCATCCCCTTTGAGCTTAAGCATTTGGGCAGCAGATAGCAGATTAAAAGGCATCAGAGTCATACATGGAAGAACTGAATTGTCTGGTATCAGAGCGAGAGCTGAGAGACCGCTTTCTCCCAGATAGAAGTACTGGCAGAGGCCATTGTTCCTTTTCTGAACCTTCCCCCCATAGAGCCACAGAGCCAGCAGGCAAGAATATCTGAGACTCCATCAACCTGGCTCACACTGTTTGCCCTGCCCTGGTGATTCCCTGAGGCACTGCTCCAGCCAACTTTTGGGCCAACCCAAGCTTTTTCCAGTGGCTTTTCCATATGAATGGCTTGTCTTGGCCCATGCTTCAGATTTTCCTAAATTCTCTCAAAAAATAGCATCTGGCCTCGGCGAGCCCCATACCTCTCATTAACTTGCCTCAGGCCTGGACTGGCAGCAGTCAGCCTTGGTGGCCTCAACTCCAGTTCCTCAACTTCAGGTGGCACCTCCAAACCCAGCACAAGTAGCAGCCATCTGAGATTGCTTTGTAGCTCATGCTGTGTGACCATGACAGAACACAGTTGGTGTCAGACCTTGGCCAACAGCAATTAAGGCCCGACTGTAACAAGAGGGTGTACACAGCCCATGAGGTGGCTGCACCCTGAATACCCAGCTTGGGTAATAGAGGAAGCTGTGCCACTGGACTCTACAGGACGCCTACTACAATTGGGCCAATTCTCAAAGCCTGGGAACATAGCAGCTCTACCTAACACTTAGAAACAAACACAGGGAGGCTGCCAAAATGAGGAGACAAAGAAACATGGCCCAAATGAAAGAACAGAACAAAGCTGCAGGAAAAGAACTAAACAAAATGGAGACAAGCAATCTACAAGATGCAGAGTTCAAAACACTGGTTATAAGGGTGCTTGAGGAGCTTAGTGAGGATCTCAACTGGAAAAAAATATCTAGTCAGAAAGGAAGGATACACTAATTGAAATAAAGAACAATTTACAGAGAATCAACAGTAAAGTGGGTGAAGCCAAGAATCAAATCAACGATGTGATACATAAGGAAGCAAAAACCAAACATTCAGAACAGCAAGAAGAAAAAAGAATCCAAAAAAAATGAAGATAATGTAAGTAGCCTCTGGGACAACTTCAAGCACACCAACATTCACATCATGGTTGTGCTGGAAGGGGAAGAGAAAGAGCAAAAAAAAATGGAAGCCTATTTGAAAAAATAATGATAAAAAACTTCCCTAAATTGGTGAAAGATATAGACATACAAGTCCAGGAAACAGAGAGATCCCCAAACAAGATGAATCCAAAGAGGCCCACACTAAGACACATCATAATTAAAATGCTAAAGGTTGAAGACAAAGAGAATCTTAAAACTAGCAAAGAAAAGCAGTTAGTTACCTACAGGGGAGCTCCCATAAGACTGTCAGCTCATTTCTGAAAAGAAACTTTTCAGGCCAGAAGGGACTGGCAAAATATACTCAAAGTGCTGAAAAGTGAAGACCTACCACCAACATTACTCTACCCAACAAAGCTATCATTTAGAATTGAAGGGCAAATAAAGAGCTTCCCAGACTAGGAAAAGCTAAAGGAGTTTATCACTACCAAACCAGTATTACATAAAATGTTAAAGGATCTTCTTTAAGAAGAAAAAAAGCAAATATATGAACAATAAATATCAATAAGTACATATCTATAAACAATTGATTCTAAAAAACAAAATTAGCAAAACAGCAGAACAGAATCAGATACAGAGAACATTTTGATAGTTGCCAGATGGTAGGGCAGTTGGAGTGTTGGGTGAAAAAAGTGAAAGGATTAGGAAGTAC